TTGCTTTTCTTTCCTCAGCATGTAGAAAGTCATGACTGTGAAATAGGTCTGGTTTATGGAACTAAACTGTAGTAACTCGCTTACCTTTTGCAAGGTTCCTTTTTCTTCTCTCTGTAAAATCTTTGTTACACAGGGCCGAAATGTGTTGTACTCAAAATACAAAATCGATATGTGGTGTTATATTCACTTTAAAAGAAAAAATTATATTGATTCCGAGGTAATGGCAGCAGTTCATTTTGCAGAAATACATGCCACCTCCTGTCATGAGGATTATTTTCACATTTATTACATCTCAGATAGGGACCTCAGATGTAAAAATGTCTTGTTAGTTTATAGCTGTTTTCTGGGCACCAAAACTGTGAATATATTCTTTATAATAGAGAACTGAGGCCTGTGTTTACTGCTTGAACATGCTTCCTTAATAGCAAAGGTTTCCCCCCTCTAAATCTCTGCTTTTCCATCCTCTATGTTGTGTCTCATCTGTTGTTCGCCTTTAGTAGACTACATCAAGTAACACATTTGCAAATAATCTTTGCCTGTAGAACATTCTTGCATGTCATGTTGTCTCCCCATGCTGTTCAAGACCTTCTAGCACAACAAATAGAATAACTTGTTTTTGTTTATTGCCTATTCCACATAAGAGGCAGTGATAGGGTTGTGTTTTGGGTAGATGCATGCTCTCTCATATGTGTCCTCTCAAACAGAATCCTAGCACCTAAGAAGCCAATATGTTAGAAGAGTAAACTAAATTATTTTTCCTTGACATGCTGGCTTCAAACATGTGTCTGCTTCACTCAAGGCTTGAAATAGGACAATACAGGCGTATCTTTGCTGATTAAGTCTGCCAAAAGTACAGTCATCCCTCCACATTTGCAGTTTTGGCTTTGGTGGATTTGGTTTGATCTAAAATATTATCTCTAAGGATCTCTAGGTCCTCCAGTGTGATTTTATGGTGAGTTCCCTCTAGTCCTCTAGTCCAGGGGTCCTCAGACTTTTTCAGCTGTGGAGACCTTTTTAAAGCAAAAGTTTCTATATTATGTATTATAATATTTGCAGTGTGTGTGTGTATCTATCTATCTATCTATCTATCTATTATATATTACTTCGCTTATATACCGCAATTCTCAGCCTAATGGCGACTCATTGCGGTGTACAACATGGAAAAACAGGTGCAAAAATACAACATACAAAAAATAATCCACAGTACATCATTATCAAAACATCTCATCAAAAACATCAATATAACTACAAGCCATTCCGAGTCGTCTCATCGTCAAGTTCACAATCCAATATCATTTCCGTTGTTCCATTCCTATGGTCGAGTTACCCGTCATTGCACTACTATTCAAATGCCTTCTCAAACAACCAGGTCTTTAACTTCCTGCGGAATATCAACAGGGAGGGGGCTAGCCTGATGTCTACGGGAAGGGTGTTCCACAGCCGAGGAGCCACCACCGAGAAGGCCCTATCCCTCGTCCCCGCCAGCCGTGCCTGTGACGCAGGCGGGATCGAGAGCAGGGCCTCCCCGGAAGATCTCAAAGTTCTCGTGGGCTCATAGGTCGAGAGGCGGTCAGTTAGGTATCTTGGACCGGAACCGTTTAGGGCTTTATAGGTCCTAAACGGGCCTATAAATAGATCTATCTATCTATCTATCTATCTATCAGGAATGGGCCGGGCCAGTGGCAGATGGATGGAGAGTGTTTGTGTAAACTAATTCACACAGTGCAAAGAAAAAAAAAGGAAAGGAAAAAAAGAGCAATGCAATATTTAAAATGAGTAACAATTTTAACCAACATAATCTTTAGAGTATTTCAGTGAAAGACCACCAGGGCCATCCACTCCAATCTCCTTCTGCCATACAGGAAAAACATAATTAAAGCACCCCCCAAAAGATGGCCACCCATTATTATAATAATAATAATAATAATAATAATAATAATAATAATAATAATATACTGGGATCTGCATGCATCACACAGTCCTAGACACTTGGGAAGTGTCCAACGTGTGATCCAATACAACAGGCAGCAGAGTGATCTTGTCTGCTGTGGACTCATCTTGTTGTGTTCCTAATCTATATATATAAATCTGTTAGGTTGGTTCAACGGGACAGCAAAACTCTAAAAAACCCCAACGAAACTGCACCAAAATTCCCATGCCCATAACACAACCCACAAGGTACAAACATATCTACTCAAAATGAAAAACAACACAACAACACACTCACAAAACGGCAAAACAACTGAGCATGCGCATTGGCGCCAGCCGCAAGTTCCCTGGCGCGCGCACACAGCCTTCCGGCCAACGTTCCCTCTGCGGAAGCCATGCCCACTCCAAGCCCCGCCGCGCCGCTTCCCGCACACACACACACCCTGCCGCACGCACACACACAACCCCACGCTCCATCACTCCCCCGCCGCCGCACACACACACGCAACCCCACGCTCCATCACTCCCCCCGCCGCCGCACACACACACGCAACCCCACGCTCCATCACTCCCCGCCGCCGCACACACACACGCAACCCCACGCTCCATCACTCCCCCGCCGCCGCACACACACATGCAACCCCATGCTCCATCACTCTCCCACCGCCGCACACACACAACCCCACGCTCCATCACTCCCCCCCGCCGCACACACCCCACCCCCCCCGCCGCCGCACACACACACGCAACCCCACGCTCCATCACTCCCCCTGCCGCCGCACACACACACGCAACCCCACTCCCCCCGCCGCCACACACACACGCAACCCCACGCTCCATCACTCCCCCCGCCGCCGCACACACACACGCAACCTCACGCTCCATCACTCCCCTGCCCCAATCTTACCTCCTTTTACTTCACGCCACCTCCAAACCCCACCCCGCCCCTTCCCGCCCTGTCAAAATCTAGGAAAGACAGGAAGGAAGGAAGGGAAAGAGAAAGGGAGGTAAAGAAAAAGGGGGAAGGAAGGAAAGTTAGAGAAAGAAGGAGGAAGGAAAGGAAAGAAAAGGAAAGATGGAAGGAAAGAAAAGGGAGACAGCAGAAGAGAAAAAAAAGGGGGAAGGAAGGAAAGAGGTAGAGAAGGAAGAAATGAGAGACAGAGGGAGGGAAAGAAAAAGGGGGAAGGAAGGAAGGAGAGAAGGAAAGAAAAAGGGAATGAAGGAAGGAAAGAGGGAGTGAAGGAAGGGGGAAGATGTAGAGAAAGAGGGAGGGAAGGAAAGAAGGAAAGAGAGAAGGAACAAAAGAGACCAGAAGAGAAAGAAAAAGGGGAAGGAAGGAAAGAGATAGAGAAGGAAGAGGGAATGAAGGAAGGAAAGAGGGAGTGAAGGAAGAGGGAAGATGTAGAGAAAGAGGGAGGGAAGGAAAGAAGGAAAGAGAGAAGGAAGAAAAGAGACCAGAAGAGAAAGAAAAAGGGGAAGGAAGGAAGAAGGAGAGAAGAAAAAAGGGAATGAAGGAAGGAAAGAGGGAGTGAAGGAAGGGGGAAGATGTAGAGAAAGAGGGAGGGAAGGAAAGAAGGAAAGAGAGAAGGAAGAAAAGAGACCAGAAGAGAAAGAAAAAGGGGGAAGGAAGGAAAGAGATAGAGAAGGAAGAGGAGAAGGAAAGATGGGAGGGAAGGAAGGAAGGAAGGAGGGAAAGAAGGAGAGAAAGAGGGAAGGTTGGCCACAGCAACACGTGGCGGGTAAAGGTTGTTATTTCTATTATTATTATGCTATTATTCCTATTAGACCCTGGGGGAATGGGAGAGGTGTCAGGTCCCAGAGGCAATGCATTGCATTATTGTTATTGTTATGATGGTGGTGAAATAAAAAGAAATAAAAAGTGAAAGAAGGAAGCAAACAGGGAGGGAAGAAAGGCAAAGGAAGAAAGGGGGAGGGAATGAAGGAAAGAGAGAAGGATGAAACCAAGTAGTGAAAGAAGGAAAGAAAGAAAGAGGTAGGGAAGGAAGAAAGGAGAGAAAGGGGGAGGAAAAGGGGGAAGGAATAGGTAGGTACCTCTCTTTCATAATAGTTCAGATATCTACCTCAACTTTGATAAGTTTTACTATAGGCCACAGCAACGCGTGGCAGGGCACAGCTAGTAATAATAATAAAAATAATAATAATAATAGGAAGAAGAAGAAGGAGAAGAAGAAGCAGAGGCCAGAGTCCATCCAGTCCAACCCCCTTCTGCCATGCAGGAAAAATACAAAGCACCCCTGAGGGATGGGAAGTAAATAGGGTTTTGGAAGCAAAGAAAGTGAGGGGGTAGGATCTGGGTGGTGAGAAAAAGAGTCTGGGCAGTGAAGGAGGTGGGAGCTCAAAACTTTAATTTTCCTGCGTTTCTCAGGAGGAGGAAAGAGGAGGAGGAGGGAAGCAGCATAGCACCACGGAGCACCTCACTATCACTCAGGGAGCCCCAAGAGCTCCATGGAGCACAGTTTGAGGACCCCTTCTTTAGTCATGCTGGGGGACTTCTAATAAGATTCTATAGTAAGCTTCCAGCAGAGGTTAAACATAGAGTCATGCAAGAAGATCTAGAAATTTCTAGAGAGGTATTATCTTGGGTAAACAATGTCTTTATTTTCATTTTTTTTACCTTCATGGGGGTCATATTCCCTATACCTCAACAAATGTGGCAAACTAACTGTATAAATATACATTCACCATAGAATAATTGGGTGACAAGGGCCATCCAGTACAACTCCCTGCCGTGCAGGAATACACAATTGAAGAATCTTGCCTGAAGTTTCTGTACAATAATTTCAGTATTTGGAACAATGCTGTTGGAAGAGATGATTTGCGTAGTAGACGAAACAACCAAAGAAGCTACCAGATTCTTCATATGCGCTTTTTTGTCTTTCTTTTGTGGGAACCATCAGTTTGTCAAAGTAATCACTGAAATATCAAATATAAGCTGCCATGGATTTTTGAATAAACTTTTCTTCTGTTTAATCTGCGATAGATGCAGCTTAGATTTAAGGAAAATTTTATATTCAGAAGAAAATTTACCATCCCTCTTCATATTTTTCTAGGTGGTCTGCTCTCAGAGAAATCTGCTGCTTTAAATGTAAGGAGTGTGGAGACTTGGGGTTACATTTACTTCAAGGGAAAGAAGTACACGTTCTGAAGACTATAAGGTGAGTTTGGGGAAATATTTAAAATATGAAGTGTAGTATTGCTTCTGATATGTGAGCATGTATGAGGTCATATCATATTCTTGATGTTTGACTGTTGGTGATCTAATATAGTTCATGTTTCTTTCAAGGACAATATAGAGAAATATGGACATCTTCCACTTCCAGTGGTATAAAAGAATGGAAGGAAGAGTCCTTTACCCCATACAAGGACACCAGTGTTAATCTATTTATTTTTCTGCTCTTCTAAATTGTCACCATCTTTACTTCACTTTTCAAATGTAACAGTTGAAAACATTGGCTAGATTGTGGTCTCTCATGCACTTTTGAAAACTTTTAAAAATTATTTTGCATTTGGTTTTATTTTTAATTTATTTTACTCTTGCCAGTGTGGCCATTTTGGGGTGGTTCTAAGAGACTGTGTTTACAGCAGTGAGTTAATTGTGTTTAGGATACTGGTAAACATGCATAAAGTTTAAAAATACAAATACAGTCATTTCTGGATTTTTTTTATCTCTGTCATTATGTCTCTGTAATTTTACCATGACCCACCTTCAGGGTTTTCCAGTGACGATATCATCCAAACTCTAATTTGACACAGATTTTTCAATCAGCTCTATCACCTTGTAAGAGTTATGTAGTTTATGGAAACAATTCTAGGTTGGCTAATGTGAAACATGAAACAACAATTTATCTAGTTTTTGAAGTATTTGAATTTTTGTTTTATAGTTATATTTAAGTATTAACCACTTAATTCTCATATTAGGAGGTGTATAAATACAGGCAGTTCCCAAGTTACAACCATCCAACTTACAAATCACTCCTAGTTAGGAACGAGGGTGAGACAACAGGAAGTGAGAGAAATTACCCTTCAGAAGGGAAATCCACTCCTGAAAGAGTTATCATAGGGTAAAAGTGTCTCCACTGAAGCTTGGTCAGGGTTACTTGTTTCCAGAACAAGCCAGATTTTTCAAAATCCCATTATCCCAGGGACAGAAAGTGAAGTGAAATCTTCTGAACCTGGATACAGACAGCAAAACAAGTACCATAGGAGTGTTAACCCTTCCCTATGCTATCCAAAGGTAGGTAGGTAGGTAGGTAGGTAGGTAGATAGATAGATAGATAGATAGATAGATAGATAGATAGATAGAGGGCTGGAGTTACACTTGAAAAATGTACCTGTTCTGACTTGAACCTTTTTGGGGACTGCCACTATTTGAAATAAATACAGGTTGAATATTCCCTATCTGGAAATTGAAATCCAGTATGTCCCTAAATTGTCCACTTGGGTGGACACATTTGCTTTCTGATAGTTAAGTGTACACAAACTTTGTTTTATGAACAAAAATATTTTTTAAATATTATGTATAAAATTACCTCCAGGCTATGTGTATAAGGTATATATGAAAGATAAATCTTTTTTTATTTAGATTTGAATCCCGTCTCCAAAATATCTCATTACATATCTATATTCCAATATAAGCATACCAAAATACAGGGAAAAATCAATTTTGGATAAGGAATACTCAACCTGTATTATTTGGGGAGGTTATGTGAGACAGTGGGTGAACTGTTTGCCAGGTACTGTTAGAGGCATTCATTCTGTACTATTAAACTAGGAAGGTTACTAATACTGCAAGAGACTCACAACAACAAGCCCCTTTTTAGTTCACTGTAGCACAAGCACAGAAGGGCAGTTGAAAAGAAGAGGCATAACAACAAAGCTTCGAATGCTTATTTTAGGAATGTAGAAAGCTGCCTTATGCTGAACCTATTTGGCTACCTAAGTCATGGTGACTCTTTGGGATTTCAGACAGGCGTTTTCCAGAGACTGGAGATACTAGCAATTACACTTGGGATCTTATGGATTCTGCCCATTATGTCATTGATGCCCTTCTTAAGAGTGTTATTTGCTTTTACATTGCTATTTTAGGACTTTTAGCTTATTCAGAAAAGGCTCAAGTTTAATTGGTATTCATGTTATCTCTGTTCTGCTTTGCAACTTGAAATAATTCAAAAACTAAAGATTTTAATCTTGTGTGACAACATTAGATGTTTTTATCTAACTTATAAAATATCAGAATTGATACTTAAAAACCAAAGCTGAGCTACACTAAAATTGTGGTGGTGTCTTGATCTTGTACACTTGGGCATTGGGACTAGAAGTAGATCTTGAGCACACAGCTTGGCATTGTTTCCAGATGCAGACTTTCTTTTAACAAAACCCATAGAGAATAATGATGAATGGAACACACAAGCTTTCAAGAACTTAGTAATACCATTATTTTAAAATATTTTTTTCTAAATCCTTTAAAAAGATACTTTCCCCTCCCCCCTATAAAAGCTTTTCCACTAATGGAAATCCTACAAATCCTTTCATTTCAAAGACAATAATCATTTGAAGCCGTTTGACATTCTGCCTATCCAGTTGCATTTATTTTTGAAGGTATCATTCCTCCATTCACCTGTTCTGCCAGCCTAATAAGTTCATTTGACAGCTGCTTGCACAGGTATTTTGCAGAATTATTTTCATGTTTTATCTTTCTGCCCTTAAAAAAAACTATTTCTAAAAATAGACTTAATTTAACTATAACTGCAATCTGGGAAAAAGACTGATGTATTGAATCCCTCCTGAAGTCAATATGATTTAAAGAGCTTAACTTTACATTTAAGTCCTACTGATTTCAAGAAGACTTTGAGTACACCTGTTCTCTCGTTGAAAAATATTAGAGGATCAGGAAGGACAACTGAGGGATGTCTACGCATTGATATTTTCTACATCTTCTCTTCTCTTCTTCCCCCCCTTGACACTGGAGCCTATGTTTTGAGTTTCTACTGAAGGTACTCATGATCATTTAACATGAGACATCTTTCTTCTGTTCGGAATGATACAGCATCTGTTTTTGGTGGTACATTTGGCCTTTGACTTTCATGGATTTGATCATTTGCAAGTTTGCCAATAATTAAATTTGAACTAAATGAAATGGGACTAGAAAATACTGTACATAGAAATCTTAAAAAGTTTAATAAGTCACGAATGCCTAAAGCAACATAGAGTATCCTGGCTTTCCTTTCCACCCCTGGAGTTTTGCCCAGTGATGATCACACCATCACAGCAGCTTTCCTCCTCTCTGGCTAATTCTGGTCCAGTAGGTCCTGAGGGACTACAATGCCTAGAACACCCCATGACAGCAGGATGGAAACACTTTACTCATGTTTCTTAGCCCATGGAGATAGAAACATAGATTGAGTCATCAGCTGGAAACTAGTATTATAAGACATTCAGGGTATTTCCATTTTCTTGAAGGTCCTGCACTCCTAACTTCCCACCATTGTGAAGCTCTGACTGTGTTTGTGTCATGTGAAGCATTCCACAGCTTCTTTTGCTTGGTGGTATCAACTGGCATCATGGGAGCTACTTGGGTGTGAGTTCTTAAAAGGGTATTCAGTGCCTTCTTTCATGGTGGATTTCTCCAGGTCCTGTAAGAGTTGCATTAGAAGTGACTGGCGCAACTCTCTCCCTAACTCCGTCATTATTTGGTACAGTAGGGGATGCTCTGGGAGAGTTTTTTGTACTGTTGTCCAGTTTAGACTTTATGCTAATTGAACTTTATGTTTCACTTGTGTTACATTCCTCCTTTAAATTAAGATGTTCAGTTTAACATTTTAAAACCAAATGCAGAGAAATACTTTGCATTACCTCATTTAATGTATCGAGACCCTTTTGCAGCTTTAAAACCCCAGTGATAAATGATTTCAATTAAACCTAATATATATTAAGAAATCATTATTGATCAGCGTGTACTTCTTACTGGAACAGAATCCCCCCCCCTCCTCCACCAGCAGGAACTCAAGAGATTATCTCATGTCACCAGAATATAAATTATAATGTGAAAAAGTGTTTTTTTAAAGGTCAAGGTATTTTCATTCTTGCTTTCTTAGAATGTTTTTTCACCAAATTCCCAGAATAACTATTATTGCAAACAAAACAAATGTGAGATTTTGAAGTTAATAATAAAACATAAATTACTTTGCAGTGGTAGTGAGAATGCTGCCTTCAGCTAGAGAGGATCAGAAATGAGATTTACTCTGTTCATATTACTAAACAGCCTATTACTCCCATGAGCTATTTCAGAAACTTTTTGTCTTGTTTTAGGATTAGAACCACTTATACATATTCAGTGCTATGTACAAAACAGTGTTTGAGCTATTGCTGGAGTTTATGTGGGAAGGGGGCTGTGGCTGATCCCTTCACATGTTTGCAAATGCTTTGATATATTTTAAGAAAACCTTTGAAGAGAACAAATAAATATTCCTCCAAGCAATTTTTTTTACAAATATGTAAAACAACGATGGCACAGCGGGTTAAACTGCTGAGCATGCTGGTCAAAAGGTCTGCGGTTTGAATCCGGGGAGCGGGATGAGCTGTTATCCCCAGCTTCTGCCAACCTAGCATGCAAATGTGAGTAGATCATTAGGTACAGCTTTGACGGGAAGGTAATGGTGCTCTATGCAGTCATACTGGCCAAATCATCTTGGAGGCGTCCATGGACAATGGCAGCTCTTCAACTTAGAAATGGAGATGAGCACCACCCCACCCCCCCGAGTCGGACACTACTAATATTAAGAGGAAACCTTTATCTTTATGTAAAACAACATTACTGTCACAACTCCCAAAGGTGGTGACAGTTCAACCCAGGGTAACACATGGGCCCCGGAGCTGTTTTGCTGGGGCTCAGGGTCCTGCAGGATCTGTTGTTTTATTTTTTGTAACTCTAGAGAGTATGAAGTCCATTTTGCCAGAGTTTGTCTACTCGCCCTGTGTTTTGGGCCACAGTAGTCCTGAACTTGCTTGTTTCTAGAAATTATCTTTGAGTCTGTGATCTGGATTGGGGGCTTAGTGTGGGATACAAATACTCCCTTCTTTGGCCTTTGTTGTAATGGGAAAAATCCTGTATCCGCTTTTTGTATTACCAAAACCCAAATCCAATGGAACTTAGGTG